AGTTTTTTTAATGCCTGCTGCTGAACTTGTGCACTTTTTGGCCAAAAGAGTGAGACTTTGCAGGAGGGGCAGAAGATCCGGAGTGCTCGTGCATCTCCGGAGGCGCGGTACACGCATGCCTTTACCTGGGATATTTCTCTCCAACATCCGTTCCCTCTACAATAAAATGGACGAGATAGCGCTGTTGATGAGAAGGAACAGCGATTTTTCCTCCTCCTGTGTGCTGTGCTTCACGGAGACATGGCTCAACGAGCAGACCCCGGACTCCGCACTCCATCTGGAGGGTTTCCAGCTCCTCCGCGCTGACAAGACAGCGGGAACTTTCCGGAGGAAAGAAGAAAGGCGGAGGAGTCTGTTTCTTTATCAACAACGCCTGGTGCTCCGACGTGACAGTGATCTCCCAGCACTGCTCTCCTTCTCTGGAATATCTCTTCATAGACTGCAAACCGTTCTACTCTCCACATGAGTTTACTTCATTTATTCTGGCCGCTGTTTACATCCCACCGTGCGCGGACGTGCATGAGGCTGAGCGCGCGTTCGTGGACCAGATTACGAGTGTAGAGCGAACTTTTCCGGACTCCCTTGTTATCATCCTTGGAGATTTTAACAAAGCAAACCTCAGGCATGAACTACCTAAATATAAACAGTTTATTAAATGCCCGACAAGAGAATGAAACACGCTGGATCACTGTTACACCACAGTGAGCGGTGCTTATCGTGCTGTGCCTAGTGCTGCCCTGGGTCTCTCAGATCATGAGATGATTCACCTCATACCTGCATACAGACAGAGACTGAAGCTCCCAAAACCTGTGGTGAGGACATCCAAAAAGTGGACCAGTGAAGCTGTGGAGGAGCTACGCATGTGTTTGGACACCACAGACTGGGACCTGTTCAGGGCTTTACAGACAGTCTAGACGAATACACAAACACTGTGACGTCATATATACATTTCTGTGAGGACAGCATCATCCCATCACGCTCCAGAGTCATTTTCAATAATGATAAACCCTGGTTCACATCCAAACTAAGACAGCTTCGTCAGCAGAAGGAGGCTGCTTTCAGAGAGGGGGACAGAGACAACTACAGACGTGCGAAGTATGGATTTAGCAGGGAGGTGTCGAAGGCTAAATCCAGGTACAATGCACGGCTGCAACAACAGTTCTCTGCAAACGACTCTGCCTCTGTCTGGAGGGGGCTGAAAGAGATAACTAACTACAAGCCCAGAGCACCTCATTCTACAGACAATCTCAAACTGGCAAACGATCTGAACGACTTCTATTCACGCTTTGAAGTCATGGACTCACATTCTTCCATCCTCCACACCAACCCCAGCCCAACTGGTTTAACCACTTGGGACTGCCCCCGACAACCCCCTGCTATCTCTGTACAAGAGGATGAAGTAAGGAGGCTTTTTAAAAGGCTGAATACACATAAGGCTGCAGGCCCAGACCTTGTGTCACCCTCCACGTTGAGACATTGTGCTGGAGAGTTGGCTCCGGTCTTCACAGGGATCTTCAACTCTTCTCTGGAGTCATGCCACGTCCCAGCCTGTTTCAAGTCCTCCATCATTGTCCCTGTCGCCAAGAAGCCACGTGTCACAGGACCAAATGACTACAGACCTGTAGCTCTCACGTCTGTAGTCATGAAAACCTTTGAACGCTTGGTTTCATCTCACCTCAAGTCTATCACCAGGCCCCTCCTGGACCCCCTGCAGTTTGCCTACAGGGCCAACAGGTCTGTAGATGACGCAATAAACCTGGCTCTTCACTTCATCCTGAAGCACCTGGACTCCCCAGGAACCTATGCCAGGATCCTGTTCGTGGACTTCAGCTCCGCATTTAACACCATCCTCCCTGCTCTGCTCCAAGACAAGCTCTCCCTGCTCCACCTGCAGGTGGATCACAGACTTCCTGACAGACCGTGGCTGGGGAGAGCTGTCTTGGACACTCAGACTGTAAGCACAGGATCTCCACAGGGCTGTGTGCTTTCCCCCCTGCTTTTCTCCCTATACACCAACTGCTGCACCTCCAGCCATGACTCTGTGAAATTTATTAAGTTTGCAGATGACACCACCCTCATCGGGCTCATCTCGGACGGTGATGAGTCTGCATACAGGAGGGAGGTGGACCGGCTGGTGACCTGGTGCAGCAGCAACAACCTGGAACTCAATGCCCAGAAGATAGTGGAGATGATTGTGGATTTCAGGAAAGCCACAGCCCCTCTGCCCCCCCTCACCTGTAATGATACCCCCATCACCACTGCAAACTCTTATCGGTTCCTCGGCACCACCATCACCCAGGACCTCAAGTGGGAGCCGACCATCAGCTCCCTCATCAAGAAGGCCCAGCAGAGACTGTACTTCCTGCGACAGCTGAAGAAGGCCAAGCTGCCGGCCAAGCTGATGGTGCAGTTCTACACGGCCATCATCGAGTCCATCCTCAGCTCCTCCATCACGGTGTGGTACGCCGGGGCCACTGCCAGGGACAGACTCAGACTGCAGCGCGTTGTGCGCTCAGCTGAGAAGGTGATCGGCTGCAGCCTTCCATCCCTCCACGACCTGTACGTCTCCAGGACTGTGAGGCGAGCAGGTCGGATCACAGCTGACCCTGCTCACCATGCACACGGTCTGTTTGAACCACTCCCCTCAGGCAGGAGGCTTCGGTCCATTCGGACCAGAACCTCCCGCCATAAGAACAGTTTCTTCCCCTCTGCTGTTGGACTCCTGAACACTCATAATGCTACCTCATAATTTGTGCTTTGGTCACATTACATCTGTATTATAATTGAATACTCCATCTGTACTGTTTTCTAAGCTTTTTTATTGTTTTCTATTGTATGGGTGTACATATGGTTATGTTATGTTTTTAATTTTACTTTATTTGTGGGTGTACACAGGCTTATGTCTTATGTAATGTTCTCATTTTTACTTCATTTTTACTTTATTTTTACTTTATTTTACTTTATTACTATTCGCACCTTATGTCGAAGCAAATTCCTAGTTTGTGAACCTCGTTCATTGACATGGCGATAATAAACTGATTCTGATTCTGATAAAGAGACTGTAAGGATGTTACTTTTCTGTGGCCCGGTGTGTCTGTTTCCCTCGTGCTCCTCATTAGTTTCCATTGTTGCCACCTGTGTCTCGTCCCAGCTGTTTGTCATCATTTCTCGTCTTCTCCCAGTATTTAAGCAGTCCTATTCTGTCTTGTCCTTTGTCGGGTCGTTCTTCGTTGGGTACGCTTCCTTGGGTCTCCTGAGTCTCTCCTTGTCTTCCTGGTTCCTCGAGTTCCCCGTGCCTCCTTCCTTGTTTATGTAAGTTTTGCTGCCCCGTCAGCTTGTTTATTTTGTACTTTTCATTTAACATTAAAAACCTATTTTTGTATATCTGCCGAGTCGAGTCCCTGTTCTGCACTCTGGGTTCGCTCCGACCACAAATCCTAACAGAGACAAGAGATAAGAGATAAAGAGATGAAAGATAAAGAGATGAAAGATAAGATATAAAGAGATAAAGAGATGAAATGTAAGATATAAAGAGACAAGAGATAAGAAATAAAGAGATGAAAGATAAGATATAAAGAGATAAAGAGATAAAAGATAAGATATAAAGAGATAAAAGATAAGAGA